ATCTTGAAGGGGGAAAAGGAAGTGAGTAGGAGTAGATATGAAATCAACTGGCAAAACTGTTTATGCTGAATGATACAAGGTAGTTTATTAAATGTGGTTTTTTGGGGGGTTTTTTGTACCAGAGATGGAACTTGGGACCTTGTGCTTGCCAGGCAGGCGGTGGACTACTGAGCTAAATCCCTGACTTGGAATTTTTCATAACAAGTATCTATTCTTAGGTTCAAGAAGCAAAGTGCAATGTCCCGAGTTTGATCCCCAGTACCAAAAAACAAAACAAAAACCTTTCCTTCCAAGAAGCTAAACAAATCCTAAAATGGACAAATAAAAAGAAATCTGCTGCTGGGGGTGGGGGTGCACACCTGCAGCAGGAGGATGGGCAGGAGTTCTAGGCCACCCTGAGGTCCACAGTGATCTACTACCTAGGCACACTGTAACGAAACTGCAAAAAGATCACTGTAGCCAGGGATAGTGGCACATGCTCCTAATTCCTGCCAGAGGATCACTGCACGTTGGAGGCAAACTTGGACTACACAGTGAACTATATGTGGTGAGATCCAATCTCAAAAACAAATAAAACAAAAACACCATTGCAAAAAAGAGAAAAAAGAAAGTGAAGTCTCATATCACCTGGGGCAAGTATGGTGATGAAAGGCATAACCATAGTCAGTCATCAAGTCCTGCCTTCCCCAAATGTGAAGCCTCTTCCCCAAAGAGGAAGCCCTGCATCAGCAAGGCTGACCCTCCAGAACAGGGGCAAGGAAGGAATCCTGAGCACTGGGACAAAGGTCTTGCTGCTCAGCCCAAAGACTTCTCCCTGCCACACACAGAGTTCAAACGGAGACCTGCTTGCTCAGCGTAACACTCAGTTACTCCAATTTTCCTAGCCTCCCAAGACAAGCATCCAGAGGGAGATTCAAGCACTGACTGCTCCAACCCCCAAACATGACTCAAGGTGCCACCTGTGCTGAGTTCACCAGACCTAAGCTCATTATTTAAGAGTCACTCACTAAAGAAGCTAGATTCCTTACCATCACCCCCACCTCCCTTGTGTAATCCTAGATAGCTTTGTGCATCCACTACTCTGTGCCTAACCTCACCTTTCTCCAACTCCTGAAACCACTGTACCATACTACACTCCTGGCGTTGAAAGCCTACACCCTCAACATTTGCTCACAGTGCTGTCCACTTTTCTAACAGAACCCTCCCTCGGCCCCAAGAACAGTGCTGTCCTGAAGATCTCTCAAATGACAGTGGTTTTTCTCCTCCCAACACATCTGGGCAGGGGACTTTCATGCTCCTCACTGCCAAATCTAGAACACTTACCAACCGCCCTTCTTACCTAAAATCCCCAATTCCGAATCCCACAGACCACTGCCTACCGCTTCTCAGTAACGTTGTCATCCACTGTCCCTAAACCATTTCCTCTCACTTTCCTCCTAGCTCATTACCTTTCCAAGATAACTCTTGGTGACTTCAGTAACACACAGGCAGCCTTTCCAATTCTGGCCTCTATTCTCTCTTCCAGTGACAGCTTTCCTATCACCTCACCCACCCTTGGCTATAATAGACCTTTTCATTTCCAGTAACTGCAATCTCTCTATACTATTATCTCTACTTCAAGGAATCTTCTTTCTAGCCATCATTCCCTCCAGCTCACATTTTATCCCAACTCCAATAATCCTTATCCCAATCAGCCAACATTTGACCCTACTACCTTTGCTCAAGTCCCTCCCCTCTCAGTAACTGTTCCTGTCCCACTCCAGTTCCGTGGTAGCATGATCACTCCCTTGCACACACACTGCAATGCAATGTCCTGTTCCATTCTGCTGCACAATCCTGGGAAGCCAACAACCAGCACCAACAGATGAATGAGGACGGAAAAAAGCACCAACCATTCTATTTTTTGGATTTTTTTCCTCCCTGGTATCAATGATTAAACTGAGGACTTTATGCGTGTCAGCAGGGGCGGCTCCACTGAGCTACATCCCTGGGCCTCTGACTGGTCTTAAAATGGACGATTCCAAGCCTCCTCAAGGATGCTCAGCAATCACCCTATGCTTCCCATATCCATTCACTGTCCTCGGTGGATGCTCCACTCCTTTCTCCTCAGGCTCCAACATATTCTTGCCCATATTCTCTCACAGTCAGAAGAGATCTTTCCTTTTCTTTCCACCTATCAGTACCTGCACCCACACTCTCTTCTCCCTTCCTGGGCCCACACATGAACAATTTGTGCTACCAAAAGTTAGTCCCCGTATCTTGGAGCTTGACCCCATGCTCACATGAAAAGTATCACTCCAGCACTTCTCCCACATCTATCTACCTACCCCTATCATCAGTTCTATTGACACAGGTACACGCTCTTCTCTAGATGCCATGTTCCACCTCATGGAATGTCAGCTTCCACACCATTTCTTCACTGTTCTTTGCAGTAAAACTCTTCAAATGCTTTAAAATCAGTTCCCCACTCCTTTCTTCCTATCTTTTCCTGAAACCCTCTAATCAGGTTTCACCCTTTGCTAAGTCTGCTGGTGCTAGCCTATAATCCCACTACTCTAGGATGCTGAGGTAGGATGATCACAAGTTCAAGCCCAGTCTGGACAATTTAGCAAGACTCTCAAAATATAAAATGAAAATGGGCTGGGAATGTAGCCCAGTATAAAGGCCCTAAATTTAACCCCTAGTACCCAAAAGAAAATAACAACAGCAACAAGAAAAAAACAGAATAGAAAATGCAGAAAAGCCGGTGGTGGTGCATGCCTGTAATCCCAGCACTCAGGAGGCTGAGGCAGGGGGATCACTGTGAGTTTTAGACCAGCCTGGGCTACATAGTGAGTTCCAGGTCAATCTCAACTACATAGTGAGACCCTGTCTCAAAAAAAACAAAAACAAAGAAAATGCAGAAATACATATATGCCCCACTGATTTTTAACAAAGGAGCAAAAAGCAGTCCAAAGAAGTAAAAATGATGTTGAAGTAAGTAGACATTCACAGACCAATCAGACCAAAAAACTGGACCTCATCTTACACTGTATTTTAATAAACTGAAAACAGACCATGGGCTGAGATATTCAAAAGCCTTAGCCTAGCCGGGCGTGGTGGCGCATGACTGTAATCCCAGCACTTGGGAGGCTGAGGCAGGAGGATCACTGAGTTCGAGACCAGCCTGGGATACATAGTGAGTTCCAGGTCAGTCTCAACTACATAGTGAGACCCTGTCTCAAAAAAACAAAACAAAACAAAAGCATTAGCCATTACAGAAGTGCAAATTAAAATTATAAGGGTTTATCACTATACACCTAGCAGATGGTTAAAATAAAAAATAGTGACAATGGCACTTGCCTCTCAAGCGCAATGTTCAATCCCTGGCACCCCCCCCCCAAAGTGACAACACAAAATTATGGTGAAAATACAAAGAAACTGGATCATTCATATATTGCTGGTAGGAAAGTAAAAATGGCATAGCCACTGTTATGGACTAATGGTGACCTCCAAAATTAATATGCTAAAGTATCCAAACTACAGTACCTTAGAATGCAACCATTTTTGGAGACAAGGTCTGTAAAAATGTGATTAAATTAAAGTAAGGGTGAACCCTGATCCAATACGACCTGTGTCACTGTAAGAAGAGACAAGGGGAGAGAGCCTGTGCACAGAAGAAAGGGATATATGAAGACATCACAAGAAGGCAGCCACCTGCAAACCAAGGAGAAAGTTCTCAGAAGAAACCAAACCTACTGACACCTAATCTTGGACCTGGCTTCCAGAACTACCCAGACTACTAGAAATTCAGCCATGCACCAAAGTTCTTAAAATTTAAATCTGTAACTATGATACAATTTAGCAGTTGAACTTCTAGACATTTAACCCAGAGAAACAAAATGTTCATAAAGCTTATACACAAATATTTAAGCAGGTGTAAGGATAATAAGCCACAACCTGGAAACAACCTAGATATTTCTTAATGGACACATGGCTAAATCTGGACCAATGTATTCCATTCTTTAATAAAAATGAACGAACTACTGATCAGTGCAAGGACCTGAATAAAACTCCAAAGAATTATGTTGACTGAAAAATATCCACTCCCAAATGTTACATATAATGATTCATGTAACAAGTCTAAAATGAAAAAATTATAGAAATGAAAAATACATAAAAGCTTCCAGGAGTCAAAGAAGAATAGAGTGGTAAAGAAATGGAGGTAGCTATAAAAACAAAACATGAAGGATCTTTCTAGCGATGGAAATGTTCTGTATCTTTTTTTTTTTTTTTTTTTTTTTTTTTACATTGATCGTTTCTTTTTTTTTTTTTTTTTTTTTTTTGGTACCGAGGATGGAACTTGGGTCCTTGCACTTGTGAGGAAGGTGGCAGACACTGAGCTAAATCCCGGGCAAAATGTTCTGTATCTTGACTGTACCAGTAATAATACTCTGGTTGTAACACTGCACTATAGTTCTGTAAGATGTTACCACTGAAAGAAACAGGGTAGAGAATATCTCTGTATATTATTTCTGACAAATTCAAATTTGTCAGATGTGAATCACGATCACCTCAGCATACAAGACTTAAGAAAACAAGCAAGAAAACATTCAAACACCCAGCTTTAGGTTTGTTTGGGTTTTTTTTTTGTTTTGTTTTTTGGAGACAGGGTCTCACTATGTAGTTGAGACTGACCTGGAACTGACTATGTAGCCCAGGCCGGTCTGGAACTCACAGCGATCCTCCTGCCTTAGCCTTCCAAGTGCTGGAATTACAGGCGTGCGCCACCACGGCCGGTCAAACACCCAGTTTTAGATAGCCCATAGCAGGTACAGGAGAAAACATACTTTCGCTATGAAAGGAAGAGGCCTAGATTTGGACTCAGTATCAAAACACCTCAGTCTGCTGGGGATTTAGCTCAGTGGTGCCGTGCCACTGCCTGCCCTGAGTTCATCCCCCCTACCAAAAAAAAAAACAAAAACCAACAACAACAAAACAGAAAACCTCAATCTACTTGCCTCTTTCACTTTCACTGCTGAGTGGTGAGGACTCCGGCTTCTCTTACTCCGAGGAGATTTGCTTCTCCCTGAGGATTTGTTTTTCTTTTTGGCCGGGGACCTATGAAGAGCATGGTACACACAGGGTTTTATCTCCATTTCCCTTCCCTCACATAAATTAGTTCTACGTAGTATCAGGCTTACTACTAGCCAGAAACACAACTGTAAAGGTCTGCTCACCACTAAGTCCGGTGCCTCACTTGGCTAACCTGACTTCTCCCTTGAGTTTCAGAACCACACAACTGTCTATTGACCCTTCTCACTTATCGGTACCGTCACAAGTCACCCTTGCCTTTTGTTTCCCTCATTAGCAACACTCCATTTCCCCCCTAAAGTCATATTCAATCCACGAGCAAGTCTTGCACTTCTTCCTCCTCCTTATCCCACTTCCTTCTCATCACATTCCTCCTTTGAGTGAAGGGGCGAGATCCTGCCCGTTAGGCATTAGACACTTACAACTCCGCTATAACGCAAATGACAAGTACTGAACTACACATCCTTTAGTGACCTCCACCACCTCGGGACTGAGTACAAGCTGCTGCGCTCTGGTACAGCAGTCGAGGCCTGTTTCTAACATTACCCCTGCCCTCTTTTCTCAATGAGCTCCACTTACCGGCTGGTTCCTCGGGCTCGGCTGCTGCGGTGGCCAGGGCGGCCGGGCTCTCCACGGGACTGAGCAAGCTGCTGCGCTCTGGTACAGCAGTCGAGGCCTGTTTCTAACATTACCCCTGCCCTCTTTTCTCAATGAGCTCCACTTACCGGCTGGTTCCTCGGGCTCGGCTGCTGCGGTGGCCAGGGCGGCCGGGCGCTCCGGCCGGCGGCGAAGGGCTACCGCCGGAAAAGTCGGGTCGACGGTGGGCTGCAGGAGCGGCCTCTGGGCTGAGGCGCTCCTGCTTCACCACCACCGCAGCCGCGGGCATCGCCACGTCCCCGTCACGATGCCTTCGCCGGCTCCCCCGCTCCCGTTCGCTCTTCACCTCCTTCATTCTGCGCGT